CAATAGAAGGAGGCAACGTCCTTAGCCTATTAGACCATAGGTTGGATAGGATTGCGGAAACTGAAGAGGTGACAAGAATGTGCAGAGTTGCTTGCTGGTGCATCCTAGATGATGAAAGTTGTAGGCCATCAATGGGTTAGGTAGTGCAGATTCTTGAAGGGGTTTTGGATGTAAACCTGCCTCCAATTCCATGATCTATTGAAATGTTTGTTGACAACCAGGAGCATATAGATTTCTTCACCGAGTCATCCTCGCAGAGAGCAACCCCTCAAATGCTTCCTGTTGGTCCAGGTACACCATATCACCAAGAAATTCCAAGTCCTAAAGAAAATAAAATGCAGATGAATTTGAGCACTGCACTAAGAGTTAAGGAATCATATTCTGCATTTTATACAAGAATACTTAATGCTATAGTTAGAAATTGATTGTCTAGTAATTGGAAGTTGACGAGAGGAAAATCCAACACATAATCAATTTTTTTTTTCATTTCTTTATCCATGGATGTGAAAATTGATTTATATTCGTCATATTATGTCATGGATATTGCTTTTCAAAATCAGAACGAAATTGTTTTTTTTTATGAAAATCTCATCTAAAGAGGTGAATGATTGACAAAAGTAAGCGAGTCTACTTGGAACTGAGAAACTCGTAATTAGAATGTGTGCATGCCTCAAAAAGAAAAAAAAATATGATGCATTGGTGATCTTAAATGATTGGTTACTCAAATGTTGGTTAATGTTGGCATGTCACTTGAAGCGGTGTACATATTAGCCAATTTTGAGTTTAATAGCATGTCTTTGGACAAGGGAAACAAACTGAGTAATATTTAGTGCCATGAGCTGCCATTGCTTCTTTGTGATCTGCGGGTCACTATTAGAGTTATCCTTGTCAAAGCTGTTATGAGCTAGCAATACTGACAACCATAGAAATTTCAACTCTTCATTTCTTGCAAAAATCACACGATAACAATAATCATCTATTAAGCATACGACATACAAGTTTGATGTTTTTCCCTTCACGAGTTCTACTTGCCAAACAGGTTATAGTGTTGATGATGACAACAGGACTAAATGTGTGATCCCTTGCTGTTCTTTGTTTACATCATGACAAACTCTGTTGGTACCGAATTGAAAGTAATTTGTGTTGAATATTGCATCTTTTGGGTTGCATAATTTTCTATTATTTGATAGGACTTTATGTCTAGGCAAAGTTCAACATGGTTTCATGGATGAAAAACTTGATAACCAAATGTGCTAATTGTTAAAAAAAAATAGTGCTGATCTTGAAAACTGAAGCTTTAGATGTTTGTTTTGCATTTGCAGTTCACAGTAATGCACATTTTGCTTCCAAATGGTTGTGACAATTAATCTGGATTTGAGAACGGGGAATGGTTTTATGTCGATCACTTAGATGTCGTTGTGGATGCTTATATTCTGCTCTGATACGGTGCTGATCTGATATATAACTCTTTCAGTTTTACTTGGTAAATTCCCTGAACCCTAGTTCATGTGCTCCAGGCTGGGTCGTTGCACCGGAATCAAATTTTTTTGGATTACTTGTTTCTAGAAATCTAATCCAATTGGAAAACTATGTACTTTTTCAGTTGTAACTATTGTAAATTGTTGGCTGCGAGAAGCAATTGAATTCTCTTATTTTTGTTTCATTTTGAGGGTTTTTTTTAGTAATCTTCATCTTTATAGGAACTTTTGCCATTGATCTTTACCCATAGATGCAGGCTTTGGAGCTAAAACACGTAATCTTTTGTGTTCTGTTTCCTGTTTCATTTTGTTTGTTTGTTTGTTTGTTTGTATGTTTGTGATCTTTTACATAAAAATTGTTTTTCCATAGATGCCTTGTGAACATCTCGTAACAGTTGTTTTGGCTTGTTTGTTTGAGTGGTGTTAGCTGTAGTAATACAATGCCACTTTTCTAATTTTTGAACACATTGAAACGATAGACCAGGCTTGGTCAAGGTAGAAACACACAACATTGATCGTAAACTTTTGTGTAAAAATCATGTATTATCCTGAATGTAATAATTCGAGTACGAAGTTAAGATTGATTAAAGTTAAAATGGCTAATTTGGTTGAACTAGTGTTAAAATTTGAAAGAGGTGACAAATTTTAGAAAAATTGTGTTGCAGAAGATAACACTAACACTATAATTAGTGCGTGAAAAATGAAATTATATATGGAAAACATATATCACATTGTCTAGTGTGATATCTGGGTACAAAATTAAGATTGATTAAAGTTATAAAGTTTAGCTTAATTTGATTAAATTAGTATTCCAACTTGAAAGAGGTGATAAATATTGACGGGGGTAAGTTTGGCACGTCGATGTCGGCTCTTTGTACCCTAGGGTTATAGTGTGTTCCAAAGGTTGGGTTGTTTGTCCATTAAAGTGGTACATGAGTTGGACTTATAATGTCCTAAGACAGTTCAGTTGTGAGTGTTAGAGCATTAAAAAGACCTTTTTTAGTATGAAAGAATTAAGAAAAATGCACTTTTGATTATAAACCATTGATATATACGAGACAACATGGAAGCTACCGTCTTTTTTAACTTTTTGGTCTTCCCATGGTTCCTTCAACCAATTCAAATTTACTTGGAATTATGTCTTTTTAAGTTTTTTAAATGACAAATCATGTACTGTGAATTGAAGAAAAATTCATTGCATTCAAATGATTCTTCTGCCAATGAAAGTTGATTCATCTAATGACATACTTTACACAATTTACAGACAAACTTTCTTTTTTCTATGAGTATTTACACACAACTTATAAGAGTGATTTAACCATTTGTTGTTGAGCATGGACGACGCTTTGATTCATTTTACGTGCTATAAATTTACAATTTATGAAAAATATCATTAATAATTTCAATTATCCATCAGAACATCGTAAATACTTTTAATGAAAGAACATAACCCTATATTTAAATCATAGAAGACTTGATGTGCTTCTAATCTGCAGGTCTCATTTCAAGTCCAAAGATCTTGATGGTAGTTCGCAATCAAGAAAGGTCTGAGTTGGAAATGGTCAAAAAACCATCCAATATTACCTCCAAAAACTTGAAATATGTATATAATAAAACAGTTAGGTGTTTAAAATTTTATCCCATACGTATTTTCTCTCCTAAAATCATCCCATCACTTAGTTATATCACATGTTTAATCATTTAATATTTGATTAATTTATAATTTAATATAATTTTTATTTCAGATATTATCTATACACGATAATATACACATTTTTGAGAAATTTTTGTCGAATTATGTATTTTTGTCAATATTTTTAAAAAAATAATGGGTAAAAATAAATTTCAAATAATATAATCAAATAAATGAATGAAAGAAAAATTATTATTTAATATAATGAGATTGAATTTTTGAATATTTGAATTTTATATTTCATGACACCTTTGAGCACGAGTTATTACTGGCCAGCTTATATCTCCCAACGCCCTTTGACCTTGTCTCACGAATAAGTTTGCCTTGGTTTGACAGAAGAGTAGAATCCAATTGCTGTTAGTTGACAAAGTTGTGTTGAACACATTGAAACGATAGACCAGACTTGGTCAAGGTAGAAACACACAACACGAGTAATGCTACGTGAACTGAAAAAAGTAGACTTAAAAATTAGATTTGATAATCTCAATTATTGATTTTACTGTGGATCCCAGTATTTATTGAGACCCACTACTTATTCAATGATTGAGATTATCAAGTCTATTTTTTAAGTTCACGTAACATTACTCAAAAAGAAAACTTGACTTGTCATCTTATATCACCCATCGCCCTCGGACCTTGTCTCACCAGTAAGTTTGCCTTGGTTTGACAGAAGAGTAGAATCCAATTGCTATTAGTTGACAAAGTTGTGTTGGACAAAACCAAGTGGAATAAAATTTGCATATTAATGAGAAAAATACAATTATGCATTGTTGTGTACACACTTACACATGTTCGGCTGGGGCCGGCTGTAGACATAGGCCATTAAGACTGCCGTCTAGGGCCCCAATTGAATAGTATTACAATGGGTCTTCAAATTTTTTACTGACATTTGTTTTTTGAAAAATAATTTTATTGTATTAATAAATTTTAATTCTCTTTATCTATATTTTCAATTGATAACATTTTTAATTACTAGTCATATCCTGTGCCTGAAAGCACGATAAAATACAAAATTTGAGCATTTAAAAAATTGATTCTATTACATCAAATAATAAATTTTTATTTCTTTGTTTATTTGATTACATTATTTAAAATTAATTTTTTACCTATTACTTTCTTAAAAATAGCATCAATTTTCTCAAAAATGTGTAATTCGATAAAATTTTCTTAACATGTGTATACTATTGTGTATGGACAAAAAATGAAATAAAAATTGTGTTAAACTACAAATTAATCAAATATTAAATAATTAAACATGTGATAAAATTAGGTGATGTGATATTTTTGAGGGAAAAATATGTAAGGCATAAAATTCAATTTCTCATGTGTTTTATTATATAGATATTTTAGTTTTTAAATTCAACTTCAATTTATGGATTTTTTTTATAACTAAAACTTGAATGCAAAACTAATAATTTTATCTCTCAAATACAATATCTTTTTTTTTATAAATAAATATATTTTTATATTTATATTACATAGCACTAGGGCCTTATTGAATACTTCACTTGGAGCCTCATATCGGTTGGACCGTCCCTTTTTGCATAGGAGTTTTATCGAGTCATATAGTGTGGTATTTTGTTGGTATCACTTGTTAAATGATCCGATACACACCTCACTTGTAAATTAAAATTTGAGTAATACTACATGGACTTAAAAAATAAATTTAAAAATTAGACTTGATAATTTCAAACATTAAATAAGTAGTGGGTCCCAATAAATGTTGAAACCCACAGTAAAATCAATAGTTGAGATTTTTAAATCTAATTTTTAAGTCTATTTTTTAAGTTCCTATAGCATTACTCATAAAGTATTGTGTTCATGTCGCCATGGGTAATCCCTTCTGCTCTAATTGGTTAATGCCTAATAAACTCATATCTTGTTGATAATTACTATTTTTTTGGTTTTTTTAAGGACAAGTTGCTCCTAATGCTATTGTAAGTCCTTATATTAGTGTAGGAACAAGTGTACTTTCCGAAACAAACGAAACATTGGCATTGCCGACTTCTCCAACAGAACCACCAATCGCCACCCAACAAAACAAAGCATCCCATCGGCTTCCTCTCTCACAGCATATAGAAGATTTCAAACCTCGACCCTTTCTCTCTCTAAAAATCATATCCACGAAAGGCTTCACCATCTTCGAAGCCCCAAGATCAGCTAGTGACATAGCACAATGAAGAAGAAGTTCTTCCTATGCCTTCGACCCATGGTCATAGAAGAAAAGGACACAAAACCGAGATTTCTTGATTGCTCTGACGATGGAGTTTCAACAGTCAAATCATTGGTTTCAGACAATGAAAGCCTTGAAGTTTCCTACCCTCGTCCAGAAAAAGGCTCTTCACCGCCAAACTTTTGCCGAGTTCTGAAAGCCATTCTATTCCAAGTTTCACTGGTCAGTTGTTCTTTACAGTATATACAACTCTCTCTCTCTCTCTCTCTCTCTCTCTCTCTATATATATATATATATATATATATATGTACCTATACAATATACTTATAATGGTTTGAAGACTTGATAAAACCTGATAAATTTTTTATTATTTTTGCAGAGAAAGAGAGTTCGTAATAGAAGGGTTTATCAACTGACTTTGCCATTAAAGACTGATTTGATTTCGGACGTTTTAACTGATAAATCAGTGAACTTAGATTTGCCTGAAAGTAATACCCAAAAACCCAGACCAAATTCAACTGTTTCTGTGTCTCTATCTTCTTCTTTGTGTTCGAGTTCGTCATCTGAGGCAAAAAAATTTCGATCATTGTCTATAAAGAAGTCTTTGGCTCGGTCTCAATCCAATTCGTTTAATCAAAAAAGACAGACCCTTACAAATTATTCAGTCGTATCTTATTTGTCAAGTTCAAATTCAGTGTTATTTTCTATTCTTGTCGCTCTCTTTTTTATCATCTTTTGGGGTAAATTTTGGGCAATATTGCTTACATCAGTATGGCTCTACTTTCTTCCTGGCCGGAGTGTTCCTCACCAGAGACCGGAAACTATAACAAAGTTACCGGAGACAGAGACGTCGAGGGATAACAAAAAGAGAGTCATAATGGAAGGACTGCTTGAAAGGAACCACCATTTACAGAGGGCATTAAATTTTCCACTTGAAAGATAATTTTGGCGTGTTTGAATGCAGATAATTTCCTTGTGGGTCTCTGTGTAAATTTAAAACTTTGGTAAGTGCAACACTTTTAAGTGTTTAGTTTCTGTAGGTTGATGTACTTCACCTTTTTGGATGGAGAATATGCAAGATATTCTCCTTTTATATACTTTTCTTTTGGGGCCAAAGGTCTGTCTTTGTTCAATCGACAAGCAAAATTCATATAATGGATTAAACATGTTGCAGTTGATTTTTTGATGATAAATGCTAAACTGACAATTGTGTATCAATAAATGCGATGATATTGATGATCCTATGTTTTGGAATAATCGAATAATAGTGGATCACATTAGAAAAATTCTGTACTGAATTTATGTTTTTTATAGCATCACATTGTTAGGGTTTTGAATTTAGGGCTTTGTGATTTGTTTTGTTTTTCTATAGTATGTGTTCTTTTGAATATAAAAAACAAAGTCTTTGAATTATCATTATCATTATTATCCTATGTAATTTTAGCATGATAATTTTTATTATTGGGTCTTCTCAATTTGTGGCACTCGCTTTTATAGTATCCTAATTTTTCACAATAGTAATACCTGATCTTGAATTTATCACGTTATTTACCCTCAGGATTTCTTCTAAAATCTCAATCTTAGGAACTCATCAATATGGGACAAATGTAAAAGATTTCAAGAAATCGTAACATTAAGGACCACTAGAAGGAATTTATAAGTGGGTTTAACCAACATGAATGTAGTGCTTTTTCATTGTAATTCTAACTTCCTTGCAACAAACCTTCTGGTGTGGTCAATCCGAGTTTCAGTTTTTAAAATAGCTCCCAAAGAGCTTTACCTAAGCTTTTCAACTTAATTTGATCAATATTTGACAATTACTCTCTTTGTGTTGTTTTATCATTATTCTTTCATTCGTAATATCTAGAGCGTCTACGTAACAATGTAATCAGAGTGCATATATAACATTTTTTGTGAATTGAAGTGCACATAAATCATTGATATATACAATTTATGCACCACATATGATAATCAAAAATGACACGTTCAATCGTTTACTCTTTTTTTTTTGTCACATCTAATTATCAATTGTTTAATCCCCACTATTGAGAAACAATAAAGAGGATTGAGGTGGAATCAGATTATCCTAGTGCTATTAGCTCTTTATATGAACCAACTAGGTCGCTAAGTGAAAGAAAGGGAAAGCAATGGAAAAAGGCAAATTTCTTGTAAAAAAAAAACAAAATTGATCAAGAATTGGTGGATCAAAAAATGAAATTGTCGTTTTTTTTTTTGGGGTTCAATGGTTAGAGGTATATGAGTCAGCTTACGCGCATCTCTTCTAATTCCTTATCAGGTTCGGTCAAAGATAGATCATTTATACCAAAATTAAGATATTCATAAAAGATAAACTTTTTTATAACTTAACCTTAAGAGATTGTCAAGATTCGAATTCAAAACGTCTGATTTTAAAGCTTATCTTTGTTATTACTTGAACTAACTTATAGGGTTAAATAAAATTATCAGTAGTGGGTCCAAATGAAGGTCGCAAGAAATGAAATGGTGGAAGCAATGGGTGTGTGCCACATGGAAATGGGGTATTTAATTTGAATGGTTATCTCGTGAAGCTTTATTGTCCACTGAAAGGGGAATGAAATCCTTTTGGGAAAAAAGGTTTCTTCTGTGTTATTAATGGAGTTAAAGATACATCTTAAAGATACGTTGATTTGGCTCACGGGTAAGCCTTTATGGCTACCCTCCCCATCTATATCATATCAATGAAAAACGACAGAAAGGCCTAAGATCTTTAACCGTTTTGCAATGCAAAGCATGCAAATTCCTAATCAGTTGGCTACTGGTGGTTGGTAAGTGGTGGCCTTGTCATTAGTTTTTTTTTTTAATAATACTATTTAAACCTAAAAATATAACCTAATTTGTTAACCCAATCATGTGACTTTAGTAAAATTACTGGATTAATACTAAATTCTAATAATTGATGGGATTCACAATCAATCCAAAAACTATAGTAAATTAGTTCCTATAGTATTGATCTTTTTTTGTTCATAGAGCTGTTTGGATTTAGTAAGTCGCGTCATTTTTGCAAATATTGAAAGGACTTCATTTCGTTCTAGTAAGATTAGGGGATTTGCAGCCTATTCACGCTGATACTAGGATATTCATGAAAAATAAATCTTACTTGTTAGCACTTTTTTTTTTCAAAATACTGTTATGAGCAAATTATTAACTTTGTCCCTAAGGCAAAAGTTATATATATATATATTCCGTGGCTGAAAACACGATGAAATATAAAATTCGAACTTTTAAAAAATCAATCTGAATGTATTAAATAACAATTTTTCTTTCTGTCATTTTTTTGATTACATCATTTAAAATTTATTTTTACCCATTATTTCTTAAAAATATTAACAATTTTCTCAAAATACGTAATCTGACAAATTTTTTTCAATATGTGTATACTATTTTGTATGGATAATGTCTATAATAAAAACTATGTTAAATTATAAATTAATCAAATATTAAATGATTGAACATGTGGTAGAAATGAGTGATGTGATATTTTTTAGGAAAAAAATATATAGAGGATAAAATTCAAGTTACTAGGTGTTTTATTATATAGATATACTAATAATAACCCATGCTTGAAAGCACTAAGCAACTCAAAAAACCTTGATCACCAGTTATGCAATATAAATATTTCAAAAATAGTTTATTTTCTTATTATTTTCTTTAGTTACACAAATCAAAATTAATTTAAAATCACTATTTTTTAAAAAATTTTGACAAAACTTCTTTAAAAATACGACCCCTAAAAAATATCAACATGTACACAATTTATATATTTAATTATTATATCTAAAAAATATCTATTTTTTTTATAGGAATCGATATTGACATGTGTGCGTTGACGGGTGTATAAAGAGAGAGTTATATGAGGGATGTGATAAACTTATGAGAGATGAGAATATGATACAGAGAGAGATTAGGGTATTAATGAGTATTAGATATATTATGTTATTATTAGGTATATATATATATATATATATATATATATATATATATATATATATTCGTCCAAGTCAAACTTTCGAAAGATAGAGTTATATGAGAGATGAGAGTGTGTGTAAGAGAAAGAGATCTAAAAGAAATAAAAATTCAATTAGGATCATATAAATATAGATGTAGATAGATAGATATAGGATGACATACTTGGACAGAGCTACAAGGAGTGAGGGTGGACACGGGCCCATCCTCAATTTGTTTTTAAAAAATATGATATATATATATATATATATATATATATATATATATATATATATATATATTTATGTATTCTAAAAGTTATACACATATATATAATTATTTAGTCTTTTTTATTATAATATGAATTTCTTCGGATGACCTTCATTTTATTATGAATTTTTGCAAGTGAAAATGCTTTCAATTAATCTTCATTTCATTTTGTTTTTTTCTACGAAAAATTATCTTTTATTTTTATTTGAGTATTGATTATAGTCTTTATTATGTGCCAATTGATTTTTAATTTTTTTACTATGTCTCTTAGATTTTAGTTTAATAGTTTTATTATACTAATATTTTAGTGATAATGTTTAAAACATCGTTTATTGAATAAATTTAATAGATTGTTCGTGAATAATTGATATTTTTTAATTATAAAAATGACAATTAGCTTTATTTTTTACATTGGTGATAATTAGTCAAGTTTTTATACATATATAATATATATTATTTTTTTGGCATTTTTATGTTAAATGGACTTCATGTATCAAATATGATACAATAAATATAAATATATTATACAGTGTTACTGGTTAGGAGGAAAAAATTAGAGTGTATAATTAAAGTGTTCACCCTAAATAAAATTCTTGACTCTGCTCCAATTGACATATGTTAATGAACCTATAATTTATTAGAAATAATCTTTATTATTGTATTTTGTTATATATATATATATATATATATATATATATATATAAAGAGAGTTGTGTGAAAGATGGAAGAGTGTGTTTAAAACGTTTGAGAGATAGC